AAGTTTAGCAGTTTGTCAGATGGGGAAAGGTTTGCGCTACCACCCATTTAGATGTAGTATAGATGTCAGTTTGCTCTCTTGCCTTTTAGCAACACCCCAAGCATACATCATGTTTTAAAAGATGCTGCCCCAGACGACCTTTCCATCTACTCAATACAGCTCCAGAGGAAACAGATCAGCGATGAGAAGGTGCAGAGATCAGCAAGATTAGAAAAATGACTTTTGAAAAGGGATGTGGAAGGGGAAGAAGGCTTATTATATGTAGAAAGGGCAGCTGCTCCAGTCAGTGAGGGTGACACCAAGAGCAAAAATTCGAAAAGACAACTTAGAGGCTCAGGCAGCAGTTTGCTAAGCAGTGCATTCATCCCAGTGTGTGCTGGTGCTACAGGATATGGTGCAGCTGAAAACCTAAGATCCACTGCACTTAAGAGACTTCTACTGCATTTCAGTGTGATTTATATCAGGCCTAAGATTAAGTCAGTTATAGCATCCACTAACTCTGTATTGTGAGGGCTATCACTACCACTGTTATCACAAGTACTTACCTCAAATCTCATCTGGAACGCCAAGTACTGAAAAATCTCACTGGCTGAAGTAACAGTAAAAGTAGTAACTGCTGAACAGAAGTGGCTAGACTTCATAAGACAGCATTATCAGCATTTGACAGCATAGTAAAACATGAAACTGTAATCAACGTACTACAGTGTAATCAGTCCTACAGAGCTTCTATCAAGCCTATCAACAGGGTACCAAAAATTATTTATTGGTTCTCTATTTCCTATCCTGTATGATCTTAGTGTAACAGAGCTGGATTTTGGTAGACTCTGCACTACAGAAGACGAGTTGCATGAGATTAAGCAGGGCAACAGGAACATCCTACATACTGAATACTCAAAGTTAAATACACAGAAGAAACCTCTTGGGAGCAGTCAGTTACATCTAAAACTAAGAAATATGACATTTTGCTTGCAGAAGTAGCAGGATTGCCTTATACCCAGCTACAAGATAGACAAGAGGAAATTCACAGGAACTGAAAGTATCAGACAGAAGCCAAGGAAGAAAGAGTTAGAACCAAACTAAATTATCCCAACCCCTACAAAGCACTGGCAGATACAACCATATTAGAAAGGCCAAATTAGTGACATCAACATTCCTGTCTAACACAATCCAAAGTTTATTTATTCACTCTTTCAGTAAGGAAAGTATTTCTTGATGTATCAAACTTATTTCAACTGCTGCAATTTAAGCCCATGATTTTTTTCTTTCAATAGTCATAGGAAATGTATTTTTCAAATACATGAAAGACTTCCACAAAAAGGAAGGGAAGAAACTGAATATTCCCTCTGCTTGAATGCCGACCTTAAAAATAATTAATACATGCAGATTCTGTGCCTGAAGAAGAAAGAGCCAGTTCATCAGTGATGCTAAAGTTGAAGGAGAAATTAAGAATTCATGTTCAAAGTGTTAATGAGAACAGCGTTCCACCTTAAGTTTCAACAATGTAAACTAGCTAGGAAACAAAAGAAAAGGGGCATAGCACAGTACAGAAATACTGAGCAACTGAAATTAGCACATGGCTTGGATAGAGTCTATGGTGGAAGCTACAGCACTATGGAGCAAGCCAAACTAGTTGGTACTGGAAGCAATGGACCTGTGGTACTCTTAGCATTGAGCAAGCACAGGCTGGTCTATGGTATTTTTCTCACTAATATTAAGTAGCCCCTCCCACACCACATGCTGCCAGGGCTCAATTGCCTTCGATACTTGAGCTTATCTCAAACTAGCTAATGAAGGTAATTTTATACTACAGTGCAGATTAAAGTCATGCTAAACAGAGTTCAGAAAAACAACTAGCAACTGAAAATGTACTAGAGGAAGGAAAAACTCTTCCGTCTTGCTCACAGCTAAGTCTTTATTTTTTTCTTCGTTTATTTTTTGTGTTGTTCATTGCGACAGTGAAGTCCACACTGGAAATATTGCTTTGAATGTTTACAGAAGCCTCAGTTTCATTACAGTGTAACTTCATTTAAGAGGAAAGAGTCCCAACCTAAGTAACTTGAAAGCTGAAAACCTGCTTATCGGAGTACTACTTCATAGGCCCATGCTGTTCAGACTTTTCCACTGTTCTTTAATACTAACCTGGTTCCTTGCTCAACAGCAAAAAACTCTAAAAGTAAAAAACAAAATCTCATTGCAATGCAAACTTCCTGACTCAGGTGAAAAAACTGGGATGCAAACCTTGCTTACGCTGTTTGGCAATGAGTGAAGCAGAAAGGCACACGGCTTCACTAGCTCGCTAAAAGAGAAACAGTTTGTAACAGCAATCTTTCACTCACAGGATGGAAATCTAGTCTTCTGTCTTATTTTTCTTAGCACATGAATAGTTTGCTAAGAGCAGACTTTTATTAACAGTAGCAGGCAGCCTGGATCCAGCGTACGTGGGAATTCAGCCAGAAGACAAGTAAACACTCTTCTTGGGCACAAACCAGGCTTTTGGAAATTTATATACTTTAGTTCTAGGAGAAATCAAGGGTCTTTAGGTAAAAGCAAGAAATATTGCTCACTTGGACAGCAGGAAGCTCAGCATAAAGACACATTTTAGTACTATTTTTTAAAATACATTTACCATGGAGTAACTTCTCTCTGTATATTCACCCAAATATAGTGCTGTTCTACTAGAGGCAAAGTTAAATGCTAAATAAGCCAGGATTTCTACTGAAATAGGTACACAGAACAGCACTTCCATGAATGGCTGTAACAAACTACACCTGCACTTTTACAGCCTGTAATGCAGAGTAAGAACATCCCCTTGACAAGCAAAACAACCTGTTTTGCTTTCATTGTTTAAAGCTTTTAACAGGACACATATATGCGAACTACAGCTAGGTAAGCCTCACGTTTGTCATCTGCCTTTAATATCAAACTGCCTCCTTTTCTACAGGACTCAGGATTAAGAAACTATTCTCCAGAGTTATACTGGGACCAATGACTGCATTTTAGATGCCTGCCAGATACGTCTGCCGTTCTGGAATTCTAAGCAAAATGGTTTTACAGGCAATTCAAGGCTTTTAGTACTATGGCAATATTCAACATTAACCAAGCTGAAGTATACTGAACCAGTAACAAATATTTAAGCTGTCTGGCTTCTAATCACCTTCAGAACTCAGGAACTCTACATAACTGGAAGTGATGACAGAAGGTATGGTGGCAAAAATCAGTATTATATCGACACCTACATGAGAACTTGTGCATGCCTCCTTATTTGAGTATGAATCCCACTGTTTGCACTAATTAGCACACAGCAACCCAAGCACATTTACAATACAGGATCATTCAGAGACTGTAAGTAGTAAAACCAGTCAGCTCATACTACAGCTGCATTCATGCCTGACTACAAAGGAGATACCATTTGTTCCCAACTTCAGTGAGACATACAAAATGCCATGTACCAGGCCCTTACGTGTTTGTGCATTTTGTGGGTTTTAATTTTTTGTTTTGTTTTAAACACACCTCCATAACTCTACCCACACATCCAAGACCTGCTGACAAGGCCATTGGTTCCTAAAAACAACTAGGCCACAACAGTTAAGTTTGGTTGGGCTTTGCTTAGATTGTGTCTCACACCAAAAAAAAAAAAGCTGTAAAACACTTAGTATTTTTCTGAATAACTCAGAAAAAGTTTCCACATTCCAGCATGAGTTCGCTGCATTTTCTAAAGCAAGCAGATACTTCCCCGATCTACAACCAAGTACATGGCGCTATAGCGTCATCTTTATTACAAACCCATGTCTTCCAGCACATGCACTGTAACGTCTCCATAAGTATCCTCAAAAAGGTACGTTCAGTCTCTTGACTGTGGAGCTTCTTTCTGCCTTGCAGCTAGTAAGAGCTGACTGCTTTTTAAAGCATCCTTAGCATTGTTTTGCACAACACAGGAGTCTGCTTTAAAACATCCCCTGGTCTGATTCTTACAAGCCAGCATCATCTTGATTTTATAGTTCTGGGATCTAACCAACCATATCTACAATACACAATATAACATGATGCAGATAATCCTTAAATTCATCAACACTTCTGATAGTAGATGATGTTAGCAGGCTGGCTACCACATCCAGGAAATTTAATCCCAGAGTCCCAGGAAGCCTTTCAGATTATTAAACTACATACCATATTAAGAATGAAAATCTAAGCCCCACAGGCATATAATCTGAACCCCACCTTTAGAAATGAATATAAAACTCCAAAAGGATACCTCTACAGCAGCATAAAAACTCTTAAGAAACTTAAATCCCCCACATACATCGGCCTTAACAACAGACCACACATTACAATTACCTTTTTCTGAGTGATGTTTCTTTGGGTAATTGAGAATATTATGTTGATGACAGTTTGGCTGAGCATGTCATCTACTTTGCATGATAAATCACATAAGCAACTGGTAGAAATTCTGAACATTCCTGGCTTTGCCAAGAATGAGGGAACTAAAGCCATGGAAAGCTGAGCAGTGATTAAGCATCCAAATAACCTAAGACACATTAATGCATAATTAACATACAGCAGTTATAGTACAGCTATTCATCCTCTGCTGTTGCAAGGCAACAAATTCTTCTTTAATTGAATTCACACAATGTTAACTTTCCACCAAGTTCAACCAAGTTTGTGGTGCTGTTTCTCTCTAGTATTGTTTCAAATAAAAACAACAAATAAGATACAATCAAGCTTCCACCAAACCTTAAATACAGATACTATTTAAGTGAACCCACTTAAAACTGGTACGTTCATACCAAAGGTTAAGCTTCCAGGACTCCATTTGAACAAATACACTGGAATCTTAAACAGAAAACAAACATGTTTATAGGGAGGATATACAGAGATTTATTTAATCAGGTTTACTATTTACAGTTGAGATCACTTTCACATACTACTTTGCTACTCTACAAGGCTACATTGTTTCCAAACCAATTTAAGA